TATTTCTAGTTGAGGCCAATGAAACTCAATAGATACTCAGAACTCCCCTCTCCCATACTAAAAGCAGAAACTTCTGAGAAATGAGGACCATACAGGACAGTTTTATGACCAAAAAGGCAGAGTCAGTCAAGATGGCCCCATGCCAGCAGACCCCACTCCTTCGGTCTCTGCCACCTGCTGCTCTGGAAAGGCTGACACCTTTGTCCTTTGTCTTATCATTTCCCTAAGGATATACAAGCTGCTAGAATATGCGCCCAAGTCCTAACCAAAGCTACGAACTACCCATCCCGCAGACTCCCACTAAGCACGGTCCCTAGAGGCCAGAAGCACCGCTAACCCACTTGGTTTTCTCTTATAAATCTACCTTTTGTTGGTTGAATTTACAGGGTCTTAGTTGGAAAACCTAAAATGAGGAGAGGAAAATATTTTCTCCTCCCCTACACTAGGGAGAAATCCACCCCAGACCACGGGAGAGGTGGGGTTATGTAGAAGCTACCACCCCTGGGGCTCTGGAGGATAAGCCCTGTCCTTGCCACAGGGTAAGGGTTGAACAGGGCCAGCCCACATCTGCTGAAGCACGGAACAGCCTGGGGAGTTCCCCCGTACACACAGACAACACAGACCACAGGACCTGGGAGGAGAATCGGCCACAAAAATGTGGGACTGAACTGAGCAAGGCTTTCAGGCTCCCCACCGACAAAGAGGTGATTCAGGGAAACAGACTTCTGTACACACCAAGCACCTGTCCGCAGACGTACACACATACTCTACTGAGAAAACAAGAACAGGCTGATAAGAAAGAGCATCCCCAGGGCCAGACAGTGGCACCACAGAACAACGTGATGCTCTGCAGGGCGGACCCACATAACTGGTCCCTGGTTCGAGTCTGGAGACTTCCCTGAGTATGGCAGGCAATGTGTGTCCAGGAGCCAGGGCTGGCTGAAGGCAGGGGTGAGTCATGGTGTTGCAACCCTGCAGGGGATGCTGTCTCTCTCTCTGTCTCTCCCTCATGGAAAAAAATAAATAAGTTTAAAGAAAGAAAACGCATCCTGAGAACATTCCTCTTTCTTGGCAATGAAAACATGATTGCTGGGGTTGGGAAACGACTTGCAGGGGCAGCCAACAGCAGAAAGGAGCTGCTGACAAGAGAGTTGGTGAATCAGGAGCCCGGTTCAATGAGCTCTCGGAGACTCCTGAAGAACAAGAGGCAAAACCACAGAAAGAACAGAAAAAATGAAAACAGATATAAAAGGGCCACTTAGAGTTTCAATATCCATACCACAATAGTCATTAAAAAAAAAAATCAAATAACGGAAAATTAATCCATAAAATAGTAGAAGACAATTCCCTAAGCTGAAGAAAGATGTGAAGTTTTCAGGTCAGTGAGAGTCACAGGGGATTAACGAAAAAATAAAAAGACCTATAGCTAGATGTAGTTCCATCAATAATTTCCAAGAAGAACAAAGTTACACAGAGAGCTTTAGCACATGAAACAGATTGCCCACAGCCGAATAACCAGAAAACTGAACTTCTCCTCTTCAACACCGGAGACTAGAAACATAAAATGACTTGTTTACATATTCCGAATGAAAGAACTATGACTGTGACCCCAGAAATTTACACCCAGCTAAACATCTTTGCATGACAGTAAAAAAAAAAAAAAAAAAAAAAAAAAAAAAAAAGGATGTGTAAGTTAAGACACTTACAGTTTCAGAAAATAAATTCTGGGGGAAAAATGACTCAATGTGGTGTAAGAAGATAGACCCTGGCTACGCAGTTAGTAAGGTGGGGACACAGTGAGTCAATGAGAGGGGAAAAGGGCCATAAAACCCGTCACCTGCTTCACCGCGCCAGAACACGTTCCTGCCTGCCCACTGTCCCTCTGGCCAACTAGCATCACGTGACATTAGGTGAAATAATTAAAGTCAGGGACTCAAGACCAGACAGCTGCTAAATTTGGAATTTCAAGTGTCCAGACCTAATGAAAATGATCAGCCAATGAGGTTAAATTCATGGGAAACTACAGCCCAAAGAACAAAATAGCCCACTCTATGTAAATCATACTCGGTGTAAAAAACAAAGGTGCCCCCAGCTAAAGAATGCCGAATGAAGTCAACATGGGCCACAATTAAAGATGACAGGGACACCCATACCATAAACTCAGATGAGGCAAAAAATCTTGTGATTGCTATTTCATGGGATCCACTCCTTTCCTCAAAAGGCCTTATAAAACTCAGACATCACAGCTGGCAGGTGGTTAAGGCTCTGGATTCCCACGAGGCCAACTGCGCTGGGCGTGTGGACATGCATGCCCAAAATCCTGAGAGGAGATGGAGAAGGGATTGCGGCTTGGCCATGCCCCCAGGGGTGACGGCTTTTCTGTCTCTCTTGGGCAAGGGTGCACACTCTATTGCAAAAACCTTAAAAAAAAAATTACCTAAAGGAAGTTCAACAATAAATATAATACTTCAGAAAACATAAGAAATTTTCTCATTAAAGACAGGAGCAAGGGGCTGGCAGGTGGCCTGGTGATTAGGGGTGCTGGACTTCCACATGGCTGACTGTGGTTCAAGTCCTGGACCTGGTGGCTTGCTGGCTTTGTTTCTCACTTTCTCTCTCTCTCTGTCCCTCTCTGGTCAAATTTAAATAAATAAATAAATAAAGTTAAATTAAAAAAATTTAAAAAAAAAGGCAGGAGCGAGATTAAATTGCCTTTTTTAGCCACTATTATTTACTATTGTTCTGGTGGCTCTAGAAAATGAAACAAAACCATAAAAACTAATTATATGTATAAATTTAGAGTTAAAAGTTATTTTTAACTCAGGGAAAAAAAAAAACTTTCAGATGATCTAATTGTTTATCTAGAAAATCCAAATCAATTTTAAAATGTCTTAGACCTAATAAGACTTCAGTAAGAAGGCTTCACACGCGATTAGCATGCACGAGTGAGGAACAGCAGTGAAAGCTGATAACCAGCCAGAAACTATCATGGACAATGATCCCATTCACAATATGAAACTACCATAAAGTTTGTAAGTTCAAGCCCTATGTGAATAAAACTATAAAATCCCAAAGATACCATCAGAGATGAGGCCAGTTCTCCCCAGATCTAATGCAATTTCAACCCAAATGCCAAGAACTGTGTCAAGTTTTGAAACTGTATCAACCGTAAAGCAAAAGTGAAACAGAATTATTTTTGAGGACAAGAGATACACAGATCCTCAGGATAGCAGGATTGCTGTCAGATCATACAAGGGGACTTTAAAATTTTCATGAAAATGGAATTAAAGTGTGAGTCCTTTCAGAATACACATTTCTATGAGCTTTCTGGAGTGCCTACCTATCATATCACAACCATAAGATCATAGATCACCAACAGAGAAAGAAAGATTTGGGCACAGAAACACACTCATGACTACAAGGGTATTTTGTACATGATAAAAGGGGCATTTCAGTGGGCCAGCAGATAGCGTGGTGGTGGTGAAGACACTGGACTCCCACATGGTCAACAACGGTTCAAGTCTCAGACCTGGCAGCTTGCTTTCTCACTTTCTCTCTCTCTCTTCTTTCTTTCTCTCTATTCTCTCTGTCTCTCTCTCTGGTGAGTGCAAATGTCATATAGCAATTTAAAAATCATAATAATAAATAAAATTAAATCATTTTTAAAAAATAAAAATCTACTCTCAAAATAAAGAAAACAAACATACTGGCATTTCAGGGCCGGCTGGTTAGCACAGAGGTTAAGGGCTATGCAGAGGAGGCCTGATCTCACATGGCCAACCATGGTTTGAATCCTGCTCCCACAGCAACAAGCCATCCAGTGTTCCCAGGTTCCTGACAGGACAGCGGGAGGGCAGGGCTGCTGGAGGACGAGTCTGCACTGAAGGGTGCTTTCCCTCCCTCTTCTCTTAGTAATAAAGGGACAAACAGCCTGGGCAAAAGACTGGGCAAGTGACCAAGGGAGCAACACGAGTCCAACACAACAGGAAAAGCCACTCACTCTGAAAAAGCAGAAAATGCAAATGGAAACGTATCAGCTTTTGAAGAACTGGGGAGGATGCTTCTGGTGGTGCAGGAGGCGTGTCGAGGGGCAGGAAGCCCTCACCGAGGGCAGCGGGTATGCAGCTCAGAGCGTGTCCAAAGGGAGGTGAGACAAGTGCCTTCCCTGTGCCAGGGATCCCTAGACTGAATCCACCAAGAACCTTCTAGAAGCAATCTATTTTTGTGCGGTCCACAGTTCACAGAGGAATACGACCTTTTTGGCTAAAAGGGGGAAGAACGTGACTTTAAAATGGAATGCTATCTACACACAGATTCACAAAGAAACGGAGAAAGAAATTCAAAACTAGTAACGAGGGCTACCTGTGGGTGGGGAGATGGTGGAAATTAGGCAGACGGGACTGCTCTCTCTCTCTTTACCAATTGTGTGTGTGTCCCATAGATTACAAATGTGTTATCTAGTAAAAACTGAATTAAAATATGCTTAATAAAGATAATTGTAAGTGGAGTAGTTATTTATTTCTATACAGCCATCCCCAGCTATCACTGCTGGGTGTTACGGTTCCAACTTCTCAGATAGAAACTAACCAGAGAACCTACTTCTGATCGCAGACGGTAGCCTTCCATTGTGGGCACTTAGGGGAACTCTCACTGTAAGGCTTTCTCAAAAGTAGTTTGGTAACATACATCAAAATGCAAATTTCTCACACCTATTCGCCCAGCAATGACACTTCTAAAATTTATAAAAAAAAGAATACGGGTGCAAGGATGATTCTGCAGTACTGCTCATTACAGAGGGAACTTGGAAACTGTTACTATCCACCTGCCTAGGAAGGACTGAAAGCATGAACTGTGGTCATGGCTGCAGGTTCACAGGCCTCGCTGTGAGCTGCAAAGCCCTTTAGAAGCTCTTGGTCCCCAACTGTGCAGCTCTCTACCTCTGCTTCCCTCACCGTCCACCTGGCTGGTGGTTAGCCAGCCGGGCCTGGCCACCGGCTCACCTGGTCAGTGCAGGGGTGCGGTGGTTGGGGTTGGAGCAGTAGATGTTGTTGGACTTGCGCGTGCCGTCCAGGAACTCGCACACGGACTGGCTGCGCAGCTCCGCCAGTCGCTGGGCTTCGTGCTTTAGGAACCACTGGTGCGCCTCGAAGCACTTGGCGCAGAGCAGGTGCTCGCACTCGAAGCACCAGAAGTCGGCAGCTTCTTTGCAGCGGGTGCAAAGTGCCTGCGCGTCCACGATCTGCCGGTACACCGACAGGCGCCCCTGCAGACTCTCAAAGAAGGTATTATTCAGGGCCGGGACCGCAGCACCGGAGCCTGGGGTCTCCAGAACACAGCAGATGGGGCACTGCATGCCTCGTTCCTCCAGGCATCGTGAACACAGTGTGTGTAGGCAAGACAGCAGCTTGGGGCACTTGGCTTCAGCCTTGCAGGCCTGGCAGCGCAGGAACTGGAACTCCTCTGCACCTTGCTGGGGGACCAGAGAGGAGGGTGAGGCCTAGAGAAGTCCCTGGAGTCCCCACCCACCGTCCACACCCACCACCGGCCCCTATAACTGGAGGCAGGAGTGGTCTTCATATTCCATTCCCAGTGGTCCCCAGGCGATGCAAAATTCTGGCCTGTCATCCCCGATGCCCCCATTTACTCAGGCCTTCCAGCTCCTACTGCACAACTTACTGTATCTACTTTGTATCAGCTGCAGTACTGCGCCCCGAGAGAAAAGGATCTGATGCAGAGCAACATCCCGCCCCCAAGGGCCTCAGTGCAGAAGGTGGATACACTGAGAGCCTCCTAAAAAGTGCTGGGGGTCCGCAGAGTTACACACGGAATTACCACGCCACACAGCAACTCCACTCCTGGTGTAGTGCCAAAAGAATAGAATGCAGGGCCCTGACAGTGGCTTTAATGCCAGGATTCACAGTGGCACTAGCCACATGGCCAGGGGAGGGAGAGTGAGGGGACAACCTAGCATCCATCAACAGATGAATGGATAAATGAAATGTGACCAGTGCAAAAAACGAAGTATTAGTCAGCATTGGGACCAGTAGATGGTGTAACGGTTACATTGCTGGACTCTCACGTAGTCGACCGTGGTTCGAGTACTGGACTCTTAAAACACTCTGGGCGCATGTGCACGTGTGCCCAAAATCCCAAGAGGAGAATGGAAAAAAAAGGATTATGGCGTGGTCATCCTGCCAGGGCATGATTTCTCACTTTCCGTCTGTCTCTTTCTCTGTCTGTCTCTCCAGCAAGTGCATGTGCCCTATACCAAAAATCTTTCCAAAAGAAAAAGAGAGAGAGACATATTTGGGGGCATTAAAAAGACACATGTTACAATATGGATGAATCTGAGGACATTATGCTCAGTGAAATAATCCAAACAGAAGAAATACTGAGCGATTCCACTTTCGTGAGACACCTAGAATAGGCAAAGTGGATTAGAGGTCATCGACGGCTAAAGAATGGGGGAATGAGGGGTCACTGGGGCTCAGGACATGTCACCCCGAAACATAACCACGAGAGACTGGGATACGCCATCCCAAGTCGATCTCTGCGGCATGTTTTGAGCTGTTGATTCTGCAGGCGTACGAGCAGCTGTGAAAAGCTGTCTGTCCTCTTATGAAGCAAGGTACGTCTCCAAGGGAAATCGGCATTAGTACAAGCGTCTGCATCAGGATGAAGCCTGCTCTGAACAAATGCTACTAAATGGGAGACTTTTGTTCCTTAAGTTTATTTATTTATTTACTTCCATTTATTGTTTTAGAGAGATTTTTGCTCTAGGGAGCATGTGCTTGCTGGAGAGAGAGACAGAAAATGAGAAATCACTCCCCTAGGGTGGATGGCCACGCCACAGTCCCTTCTCCTTCATTCTGAGCATGCACACCCATACACTCAGTGTTTCAAGCTGCTGGGTCTGGGACTCGAACCACAGTCGATCATGTGGAATTCCAGCAATGTAACTATTACGCCATCTGCTGGTTCTGTTCCTTAAGTTTATGTAAAGCCTGACAACAGAGAGCAGGGTAGGGGACCACCCAACAGGGTCTTCATGCCAAGGTCCAGCCCGGCCTCACTGGGATCACAGGCCCATGTGCCTTGCCCACCTGGCTTGCACAGGGAGACCGAGGACCTCCCAGGCCATGGTGTTACTGCTGTACCATCTGGCCCCACCTGAAGCAGTTTGTGTCTGCATAACAAGACCCCCTTACTCACCTCGTACTCCCTCCCTCTGCCCCACGACCTGTGTCACCCAGCCCCAGAAGCCCCAAGCTCCCTTCCTTTTTCTAGCTCTGGACCCTAAATAAGCTTCAGTCATTCGAAGCGTTGAGGGTCATGTTTTGCAGGACTGTCATGCATACACACGTAATTACATGTGGCTTTTCTCTGTTCATCTGCCTGCTGTCAATTTAATTTGTAGCCCTGCCAAAGAATCTAGAAGGATGAACAGAAGACCCACCCCCCCCCTTTTTTTTTTTGCTTCCCTACAGGTTAAAGGGTATAGTTTTGGAGGTGATGGAAGAGTTCTGGAACGAGACAGTGGTGACGGTCTGTGTCTATACTTACTGCCACTGGCTTACCACGGTCATTTCTTTTTCTTTTTTTTAAAAAATTATTTTTAATTTTATTTATTCATTTTACTTATTTTATTTTTACCAGAGAGACACACAGAGAGAGAGACAAAGTGAGAAAGCAAGCCACCAGGTCAAGGACTTGAACCATGGTTAGCCATGTGGGAATGTCCAACGCCTTAACCACCACACCACCTGCTGGTCCCCCCTACCATGGTCACTTCAATGGTATGCATATTTCACCACACACACACAAAACTGTGCTTATCACAGCCCTGGCACTTATCAATCTGCTCCGGACTCGTTAGCTACAGGAATGCTGGTAACGGAAGTTCCTGCAGCGTGGTGGTGTGTGTGCTTTCACCCGGGAGCAGACCAGCCTGGGAGAGGAGCAAGCACCCTAGTTCTTGTAGGAGCGGGGCGGGGGTGGGCAGCTGACCCAGGAGAAGGCCAAGCAAAACTTCCAGGAAAATCTAACCCTCTCAGGCTGGGCAGGAAAGTGTTCCCAGGAAGGATCCAGGCGCTTCCTTAAGGAGGAACCAGAGGAGCTGGGAGGTCCCTAACCTCCGGGCCACACTTTCCCGCCCCTATGGGATCAGGGAACTTGGGTTTGGTTTGGCCCCGCCTGGGATAAGCCCCTGGCTGCAGGCCAGTCAGTAGGGCTACCCTCTGCGTTCTCCCTCCCTGCAGCCAGGCCCAGGCTCAGCCGCCAC